CAATTATTTGACAATATTTATTCCAAGCTTTCAAACAAAAAAATTTTCATTCCGATATCTCAATAAGGAAGAAAGAGCGGTGGAATTATTAAACGGTTTGCTAATAACAAAAATCTTAGATACGCCACTGGTATACTGTAAATGGGCCTTAATAAGAACTGTGTAGCTCACAAAGATTTTATACATTCCCATCACATACTTTGATTTTCTTTTACTATACGGAGAATGGTCGCACTGCGCAGCTTTCTGAGTGCCTTTTAAAAGGAGATAGAAAACTCCGCCATTTTGAACCCTTATTACGTGTTGCCTACATCTTGGCGCAATATTTTTATTAGGTGCGTTTTAATCATTCACTTCTGCTTCGGAATTGTCAGTTTTCTTGTTTTAATCTGACAGGTAAAAACGACTAAACCGACAATTCCGGAAGCAGAAGCGGATGATTAAAACGCACCTGATATTTTGCTTGCTGCTGTCAGTGTCGAAAGCTAAAGCCAAATGTAAAAATAATTAAAAATCTGTCGCTCGTGTTATAATATTTTGTAGTAGACGTTTCCAATTATTTTATTTGCTTTCAATCCTATTTATCACCACAATACCTCTCCACTATAACCAAATAATCTTATACGTATAATCAAATTACCTAACCGATTGTTTTTTTTTTTTTTTAATTTATTTTTTCTGTAAAATTTGACATAATTTTAACGTTTTTTGTAAATGAGTAATTGTAACACGGACCTTTAGGATAGGTAGGTCAGAAAAATTATATAAAGGGTAGCGCATCCTATACGCGTCGGTCTCTGTAGGGAAAACGACTTAAAATTTGAATTTTTTTCTTAATATGGATGTACAGGGCCATTAATACTACAAATTAAAAAGGAAACACCCTATATTTGATGGTGTCTTTTGATTCCCCGGGAAAAATAAGGTAAAGTTTCTGTAATGTTTCCTATACCTATCTTTTTTCGTTTTTGAAACATTTAAAGGATTCTTAATTTGTAAGCTTGAACAACATAATTTAGTATGTCGCGGTTATTTAAAACACATCAACAGTCACCTGCGATATGCGTAGCCAAGATATTAGACTATAGAATAAAATGCAAATTTTTCCATTCATTTAGTCTAATTGAATTCAACTTGGAGTTGAATATTATTCTTATTTTAAATGGCACACTCTGTATTTAATTACTTAAACTGATAGACATTTAAATTATCTTTCATTCCATATGAGATTTTCCTATACCTAAATTCAACCTCTATACCTAAATTCAAAGGTTTTTTAGTAAATATATGTTTTTATAAATACTCTTTCCCGTCAAAGTGATCATTGAATTTAATTTTCAAATGCGAGTTTGACATTTCTATTTAGTAAGTTAGGTATTAAATGTACGAAAAATCGAATTTGAAACATGAAAACTTATTCCAAAGCAGAGAGAATTGATGTGGTGCTTGTTCTTGGTGAGTGTCATGAAAACTGTTTATTGGGTTCTAGAGTTTACGGTCAAAAATACCCAGATCGAGAGAAACCTGACAGACGTCCTTTTGAAAGATTATTACAATAGTTTAAAGTTAGCAGAAACGTAGATTATAAAAAAATTAATCAGCTTCAACCTATTGTAGGAGATCATGATAACGAATTTTGGGTTATTGGCTCACTAATAGAAAACCCACACACAAGTCATCGGGCTATTAGTAGAGAAACTGGAATCTTCTCCATTGGACAAATAATAAAAAACAATTTCATCCATATAAGATACAGCTGCACCAAGAACTGTATCAAAGGGACTTTCAACAAAGAATTCATTTTTGTTTATGGGTTATGGATAAAGTAGAATCAGATGCAGATATTTTTTTTTGATAATGTTCTGTTTTCGAACGAGTGCACGTTTCATAATAATGGACTTGTTAATCGCCATAACTTTCATTATTATAGTGATGAAAATCCTCACTTCTTTCGTACTCTCGATCATCAGCATAGGTGGTCCTTGAATGCGTGGGGAGGAATATTAGGTTTATATGTTATTGGTCCTTATTTTTTTACCGGTCATCTTAATGGCAGAAAATTTCTAAATTTTTTGCGGAAAAAATTATCTGGGCTCCTTAAATACCTTTAAATACTAGGCAGAAAATGTGGATGCAGTTGGATGGGAGCCCCCGCACATTTGCAACTTCGAGTACGGCGATACTTAAACCGGCGTTTTGTTAATAAATGGATCGGAAGGGGTGGTCCACATAATTGGCCTCCAAGATCTCCAGACTTGACGTCGTTGGATTTTTTTATGGGGACACATACAAAGTATAGTTTATAACACCTCACCAACTACTCCGGAAGATATGAAAGCTAGAATAAGAGCTGCTTTTTAGACAGTAACGAGTTCAGTTGTGTTTAGAACAGGTTGGGCGTCACTTTGAACATTTTTTATAGGTCTAATATCTTGGCTACACATCTCGCAGGTGACTGTTGATGTGTTTTAAATAACTGCGACATACTAGGTTATGTTGTTCAAGCTTACAAATTAAGAATCTTTTAAATGTTTCAAAAACAAAAAGAGATAGGTATAGAAAACTTTACAGAAACTTTGCCTTAATTTTTCCGGGGAATCAAAAGACACCATCAAATATGGGGTGTTCCCTTTAAAAAACATAAATTCATATTTTTGGGTCACCCTGTATAATCCAAATTATTTTTAATTTGTAGTATTAAGAAAAAAAAATCAAATTTTAAGTCGTTTTCCTTACAGAGACCGACGCCTATAGGATGCGCCTCCCTGTATATCTTCAGAAATTCAAATTGCTCAGTTTCATTTGAAAGTATCACCAACTTTCTTTACTTTACCCTAATTATCTACAATTTTCAAAATTATATTTTTTTTGTCAAACCTGGAGGCATTACAAAAAATTTAACTATTTTTCATATGTTTTTTTTTAAATTCATAAAAAAATCTATTCAATTGATTTTTGTATAATTTTTTAGCCTAAACTGATAGAGGTACTAACTGTATGTAAATAATAATTATTGTAAATTGTTAAACAATTCACAACATGTAGGTATATTTACACACCAAATGAATTAATTACTTATACGATTTATTATGTAAGTAGATGCATATCCTGTCTACTAAAAGCAGTCTTTAGAATTTATTTATTGAATTCGATCAACCTATTGAATGATTTAAAAAATAATTTGCTTAGACCGGTATAACAATTTGCATATAATTTTTTAATCAAATAGTATGAGTTTATGAAAGGACATGTATTCTTTTTTCGTTTTTTTTTTTTTTCAGTTACATTGTATAATATATTCCTTTATTTAGAGAAAATAGTCTTTAAGAGAAACTAAAAAAAGAGTACAGGTCCCTATCTCAAAAAACTTGATGGTCCTTCGAAAACGAAATGTCTTATCCTGAATTTGACTTTAAATATTTAAGCAGGGAAAATAATGAAATTAAATCTTGTCTTATTTTTTTTATTTGTCCAAATAAAGAGGATATAATAAAAAATAAGAAAAATACATTCCAATTACTCCAATTATCATATGAACCGTCCCTGATATCGTCGACCATTTTCATTATTAGATTCGGGTTTTTACCATACATTTATTAATAAATAATTTTTAATTAATTGAAAATTATATAAATTTAGTAGATTCGACATTGGGTTTCAAATAGAAATCAAGTTCAACTCATTGGTGTTCCAGTTCAATATTTAAAAATACGGAATACTTAATCAAGGTTCAATAAATTGCATAATATTAAACCATAATTATGCACTATATTGCAATTTTTTAATAAAATTTGCTGTTATTGACCATAATAATAACTTGTAACAACAAATTTACTTGCGAAGGAAATAATAATTGATCTATTTTAGTTTTAAATATACTAATGATAATTGATGATATCGACAATAAGATTCCTGTTTTCGAATACAAGGCTGAAAATTAAGTGTTTTATTTTATATAGTATTCAAGGAAACTAAATTGTTTATGTCATAACCTGCACTGAATCTCCAAAATCCTAAAATAATTACAAAGTTTAAATCTCAACCCCTTGTGTGTAATGTAATGAAAAAATGTCTGTATAAGCACCTCATAGGTAAGGTGTGTTTAGTCACCAAATCTACATTTGTTAGGAGAGGCATTTTAAACTTCACTTATTGTTTTAACAAAAAATGTTAAGAAACGTTGAATTTATTAAACATGTGGGTCTTTGCAAAAGTCAATTGTTTGGTCAATATATTTCGTTTTTTTGTTAGATTTTTTACTTTCTCTAAAAATTTTGACTTTGATCTGACTTATTATTAACCCCATATTTGCCATACTTGGTTTGTGACTTGCCGAGTGTTCCATCATCTTTTGGCGAAATTATGCAACTAGGGAGTTAAATCTGTTTTCCACTAGATATAATTTGGTATGGTAAATTTACAAGTGGAGAAAACTCTTTTCTCTGAAAAATGTGACTTAACACACCTTACCTCTGTGGTGCTGATATATTGTTTTATATTCTGGACCATTTAATTAAATTGTATCTATTAATCATTTCATATTATACATGATTGTCGGGAATTTTATTAATAAAAGTATTAACAATATTAAGGTCTGCATCGGCAGTGATTCTAAACGAATCTGATCCTATAACTTTGTTTTTCTACAAACTGCATGAAAATTCAAAACTTGGAATTTTAGATTTCAAGTAATTTTGCATCTTTTCCAACGTGTAGGATTGTTTGTATTTGGAGGCATACACCCATACTTCTTCAGTTGATACAACATCCTCGCTTTCAACATCTTCACCTACAATTTTTGGTTGTATTTGGCTATTTTCACCCAAATTTTGTATTTCGTTTATTTCATTGTGTGAATGGATTTGTAATAGTACAGATAACATCTAGTGGTGCGTGATTTTTTCTCTGTTTCTCTCTTTGGAGTTTCTTGCTTGTTGGTTATTAGTTAAATTGCCATTATCTGAAACATCTGGTTTTTGAGGAACAGTGGCAATTGCGCTTTAGTTGCTAGCCAAATTCACAATCCTCGCATATTCAGATTTTAATGACACAGTGGCAACAGCGCTTCGGTTATTGGTATTCGGACCATAGTTAACCTCCAAATTTTTTGGATTTTGTAAAAGACTAATTATGAGTTCTTGATTATTAATAGTTCGTTCTAACTCACTTGCTAAACGTTTTGAAGCATCTAGTTTCACTTTGGCTACTTTTAAGTCGCATTTTAAAGTCAGAAAACTCACCGATTCGGCATGGTTTTCGATATCATTGTCACGAATATCGTTAGATGCATCAAAAAACTTCGTGTTTTTACTAATGTTCACATGCTTCATGACTTTATCACTCACTTTTATATCGTCAGGCACTTTCTTTTCAAGTATTATCCGGATTAAGTCACATTTGTTTAGCTTATTTAATTCCTTTTTAGCATCCTCCAAGAACGCCATGTTGCCAAGTTGAACCATACCATAGAGGAAGGATAATTAGGAGTTGAAGATTCCACACAGAAATTTGGCAACATGTTTGCCATCAGCGACATATGGGATAGTTTTGTGCAATTAATACTCAGTCGGTAATATAGAAAGCTGTTATGCTATTTAATGTAAAATTTTATGGTAAATAATTTTAGAGGTGTAAAATAAATAATACAAAATTGTATTAACTAAATATTATTTGTAGAATCCTCATTGATTACAACAATGAACATAATATATATTTTCCATCCATAAATCCTAAAACAATCCTAAAACAATCGTGGACAACGACAAACTTCTTAAAACACAAGATTTTAATTGTATGGGACACTGCATTTTTAATTTACTACTTTTAATATCTATTATAAAGGTCCAATTGAGATTTTATTGCTTTATGTAATGAAAATACTTTAGATTTATCAAGATTAAAAAGCTTGGTTAATACATATAATTAAATTCTCATATCTAGAATAATTATTATCAAAATGAATATCAGAATTAAGACTTTGTTAAGGATTTCATTGGGGATAACATAATTATGAATACGAATAATAATCCTTTTTTTCAGTTGACAATAAAATATAATTTTGTTTGTTCTAAAACGGTGTAAATGAGCCAAAATAATTTACTATTACAATCAAGTACATGCATTTATATGACATAGACATGTTAAAGTATCAAAATAAGTTTACTTACAGTAAATTATTCCTAAATTTATGCCTAAAACTGTATTAAATAAAAGTAAAACTCACCTATAATTATTGTTTATATCGACAGCCATATTGTTTGTTATTGTATTTTGTATCATTCGGGTTTCGGCTATCGAGTTGAATCGAGATTTGGGTTTTGTTATCCAAAGCCAGATTTACATTGTACAAATAATTGATTAAATTTATATTTTTTCAATTTTACGAAAGATTAATAAAAAAAAGTGAAAATATTACTTTTGGCATGCTACTAACTCAGTTTTATTGAGATATTTTGTAATTATTCTGTTTACTTTATATTTTAAAATATAATTGTGTTATTGTAAAACGGACGTACGCCAGTTTCGATGCGCAGTAACTTGTTGGCAAAATGCGCATATGCTATAAACCCTCGTGAACCATACTGTATATTAACTGATCAGACATTTTGTAATTCTGTATAGCCCGTATAGTAAAAAATTTAAATCTCGTAATGTAACGAGTATTTGGTAAAATTTTGAACCTAAATATTAAATTACTGTCATAGAAAAAGTTGTTAGAAATACATTAACCAAGAAGCGTTGGAAAAATATAGAAATATTTGGTTATTTTTTAATGTTTGTAGTTTTCCTAATTGCGACAATTATTAGGTAAATTGTGAAATTCCATAATATAGCCCAAATTTTATAAAACGGTTGTTTCCTTAATATTTATATTATTATTTATTTTGAGATCGTAACCTCTAAGACAAATGGAAAAAATCATACATGATAATTAACATGTCGTAACAAAATTATACCAATAATAACTTTACAACAAAAAACTATACAAAATAAATGTGAAACGTAAACTAAACTAAAATACATAAAATGTAAGAAGAATAATTTAAAACCCCATGCGTGATTATTTAGATATACAGAGTGTAACAAAATGATTGATCTTAAATGATACCCCTGAATCTTGGGTCAAAAATAGGTTGATTAAGCATCACTTACCTATGTACAAAAATGCACCTAAAAATATTTTATTTTGTTATTTTTTAACGTTGCTTAAACTGTTCAACATTTTTTCATAAAATTTCATTTGCTGTGTTAGAATACAATTACTAATAAAGCAGAGATATAGGCAATATTTTTCATGATTTTTGTAGGTTTTTGGAGTGGGTCACCGCCATATGAACCACCCAATTTAATCAAAAATGAAACATTACTGGAATGAAATATCCATTTGGAAACTTTTTTGTCTCTTAATATTTGATTGTAAAATATTTGGTTTAGACCAGAGATTCTCAAACTATTTTGAACAAGAGACCCCTTCTTCAAAATGAACTGATATTTTAGACCCCCCATATCCAAATTATTTTAAAAATCTAGTTTTTCCTATTGATATAAAATACTTAACCAATTTAAAAACTTTGCGGTTGGGTGAGTAAACTTTAACAAAATAAATAGACATAAAATTCAGTAAATATCAAGTGTAAGGATTAAACCATGAAATTCCAAAAAAATGGTTTTGTGTGATTTAAATGGTCTATGGTAGGTCTTTAATATTTTTCCTTTTGACTTAACATACATTAGGTAAGTCACGGTTTTAGTCACAAGTTATTTGAAGAAAATCATTCTTCGAACACGGCTTAAACATTGATAGTCAGTGGTACAAAGCTAAAACAGTGAAAGTCCATAAACTGTCAAAAAAGTTAGGTTAGAATTGTCTGTGTTGTTTTGTTCTCTGGTTTTGTTATTATTGGATTGTTGTGGTTATCATATTAATATCAAATTAAACTAAATAATATTATTATGGAGTGTATAAATAGCAAAAAGAGAAAATCCAGTTGGCGAATGAGAGACATCGTGAAAAAGCTTAAAATACAAGGATATGAAATTGGGGAAAGTTGTCGAGGAAAACGTTTTTCGAAAATACATCCGAATCAGAACGGAAATCTACTGTTACGGCGCGGCGTTCAATTTATTGAAAACAAGGTATGAACAAGACAGTTATCTTTGTGGTCTTATAACCACCCTTGACATATAACGTAAAAGACCGAGAAAACCAGAAGAAACTGCTGCACTAAGAAGCAAGTCTTACTGCTATAAAATACGAATTGGAGGCGATAATGTACGTGAAATACCAGTATGCTATAAAGCATTTCTTTCCATGCATGGTATTTCTAGCCGGATGCTACAATATTTCTAAATAGCTTGAAAAATAATGGTACTATTTCTAGGGACAAACAGGGATGTGATTCTAAAAGTAATAAACTTTCAGAACAAACTATTTCCTTAATGAAGCAACAAATTGAGACTCTACAGAAGATATCCGGGCGTAAAGGACATTACAATTTACATGAGAGCCAGAGGATATATCTCTCTAATGAACTTAATATAAGAAAAATATGGGATCACTACATTGAAAAAAAATCCAGACAATAAAGTATCATATGAAGCATACAGGAAATATTTGCTCGCTCTGTAATCAATTTTTGGCAGAAGTTAAATGTACAAACGCTTAGCTAGCAATATGTACAGATGAAATAATGAAAGAAGAATTGAATCAAACGATTAAAAAATTGGAAACAAAAAATAAACTACATAAATTAAAGACAGATAAATTTTATAAAATAAAAAGGAGAGCTAAATTGATTGCCTGCAAAGATGATACTCTAGCTACTATATGGATTTTCAAAAAAACTTAAATATTCCAAACATTACAACTAATGATGTATATTACAAAAGACAACTATTTGTTCAATATTCATCAACTTTCTGATGCCGATTCATTTTTTTATGTCTATGATAAAACAGTTGCTAAAAAAGGTGCCGATGATGTGGTTTCACATCTATTTGATTTTGCATACAATGAATTGCCTTCTAAAATGCAAAAGTTGACTATATTCTGTGACTCATGTGATAAACAAAATAAGTATAACACAGTTTCTAGATTTCTTTACTATCTGGTCCATGCCTGCCAACCCTTTATTGAAATTTTTATTGTATTCCCTGGCCACTCTTATTTAGAATGTGACCGTAAATGGTTTTTATTAATCAAAAGGCAAGAATTGAGTTACCTAGTGAGTGGGCACAGCACATTAGACAGTCTAGAAAGAAATCTAAACCATTCAATTTCAAGGAATGTACTACAAATAACTTTAAATCTTGGACTCCTTTTTACAAAAAAGTGTCCCTTTGTCAGCAGGCCTTTAAGAAAGTTGAAAATTGATATTATTTATGAAAAGTTATTCTTTTAAAAAGCGCATGGTTGTCAAGCTTAATTAAGAGTCCTCAACAACTTCGGATGATGAAAGGAAGTAATAATGAATGTTCAATACCACAGCAGGCATACAAAGACAAACTGTCAATTTCTGAGCTAAAGTTCAAAGATATTCATGCTTTGAAAGTATTTTGTTTTTAACCAGCCAGGGACTATTATGATAGTTTACCTCATGCTAACAATGTAAGAGATCATGATAATTAATGCTAATGATCATTTAATTTTTTGCAGACATAAACAATGAAAGTCATGGACTTACATTGATTTTACATATGCCTGTCAGTAGTGCTTTCTCTGTCTAGCCGTCGAAAGCCTCTAGAAATTTGATGAACTGTACATACATACAGGTGAAGCTAAAATAAGCGTGTTTAAAAAGAAAATATGTGAAATATGTAAATTATTTTTTAAGAAATCGTATTCCTAAGCTACGAAATAAAAACTTAAAGAAATACAATTAAATAATTAGTTGATTTTCTAAAATTTTACGTGTTTTGCTGAAAGAGTACATAAACAATACTTTTATAGCTCCTTTGAAACCAATTTTGACAAATTGCATGTAAACATGGACCTTGTGTAATTATTGTATCGTAAATTGTCACCCCATGGTACACATGGTCCCTTGTAGATTGTTCTCCTGCAATAACCTTCAATTTACTTCCTTTCATTTCACTCTATATTCTCAGTGACGAATAAAAGAAATTAAAAGTGATTGTTTCTAACAATGTATAAACATATAAATTGTGGGTAAACAGTAACAACAATTACTACATTACGTTACAATTAAATGTGAATAATTAACACTTTCAATATAATTTTTCATGGTCTGTTATCATATTATCAATTTATTATGCAAGGTCATTTTTTAAAGACAGCACTAAACGTTTACGAGAAAAATAAAAGTATGGG